TGTAATTTGTTGATATTTATAGCGGCTATATTGGATCCAAGAGCTAAAATCAAAGCGATGTGATACTATCGAGTATAAGATTACAATTCGAGAGACTTTAAATATGCTTAACAATGAGTATGTTGAAGCATATAAAGAAAAAAATATTGGGATTGATCAAGATATTGATAGTGAAAATCAAAGAGAATGATTTGGTTCCAATGCTGGGAAAGGGAAGGTTAATGGGGGAGCAAAGAGATTCTATAGTCAAACTAGAACTGTTGATACTATTGTAGATCAGGTAAAGTCTGAATTAGATGTGTAGTTGGAAGGAGTTCATGTTTGTGAAGATGATGAAACATTTGATGCATTAGAATGATGGAAGGTGAACAACATAAAATTTAGAATTTTATCAAAGGTAGCACATGACATACTTTCAATACTCATCACAATTGTAGTTAGTGAATCAGCTTTTAGCGCTGGAGGTAGAGTTGTTCATCCATATAGATCATCTTTGGCAGTAAATGCTATTCACGTTTTAACTTGTGGGTCTGATTGGTTGCAAGCGTTAAAGGGAAGGTTAATGGGGGAGCAAAGAGGTTCTATAGTCAAACTAGAACTATTGATACTATTGTAGATCAGGTAAAGTCTGAATTAGATGTGTATTTGGAAGGAGTTCATATTTGTGAAGATGATGAAACATTTGATGCATTAGAATGATTGAAGGTGAGCAACATAAAATTCAGAATTTTATCAAAGGTAGCACATGACATACTTTCAATACCCATCACAACTGTAGCTAGTAAATCAGCTTTTAGTGTTGGAGGTAGAGTTGTTGATCCATATAGATCATCTTTGACAGTAAATACTGTTCACATTTTAACTTGTGAGTCTGACTAGTTGCGAGCGTTATATGGAATAAAGAGCAAAAAAAAAAGTAAGTACACTAACCATTATATTTCAATGTTGAATATGAATTATTAATATCGTAGCATTAATTAATTAATTTTTAATTGTGTGTTACTAAAGTAGGACAATGAGGATATTCAAGAGATTTCATTACTATAGTAATATAGTTTGCAAATCCATTTTTCAGGTATAATCTTCATCAAAGATTAATATGGTTTTGTAACATCCCTTCCCGATCCACTCGTGAATCCGAATAAACCGAGCCGAGACGCTACAATCTGGTTGAACCTATATCCTGTCGTGCTAATATCATCCTGTATGCTAAATATTATGTCATGTTGTTGCTTTACACATCATTTATATACAAACATTTATTTAATATATACAAGGCATTACACTATTTTCCAAAATGAAATGGGCCCAACTATGTGCCGTGTACATGCCACAGAACCAAAATATCAAAATGAGTAGTTACCCTGAAGACTGGGTCTTCAAAAGATGAACTGCAGCAGTTGTAAAGATGACTCTCTACTCTTCAAAGATGACTGCAGAGTTGTAAGATGACTCTCTACGGTCCGACCCAAAACCCTTGTATGAGTCAATATATGATATTTTTAATGGATTTGGTGTTTGATGATAACTCTCTAGCTTTTCTGAGTTAAAACATCTGTAAGTTCGCTGAGCAAAATAAAGCTCAGTGGATATCTAACTTTAAGAATTAAATAAATAAGCATGGTAAGCACAAAATATCACTATACTTTCATGGTCTTACCTGCTGTCATTATGCTGTATGAATAATGGCAATTTTTATTAAGATATCGTATAATTTATAAATAACGCAATTTTCATTAACTGTATGGCTCCATAAGGTTATAGTGGAAACCGAAGGATAAGAAGGACTGTATGAAACTGGATGATATTGTATGGCTGGGCTGCTATGACCCGTATATAAATCATATCCACTCAATGGCCTGTAGCCGAAGTACCAAACTATATGGGACGCAAATCTGCTATCCTATGTCGCGACATAGCCTTATCTACATGGTTTCTACCTAACCTCAGTGGAACATATATAAAATGCATAAACCATACTGTTTACTTATATGCTGTCTCATTCTATACGTTGCTAACCTATTTCATGCTTTAAAAGGATTTCATAGACAACTACAAGTAATAGAGAATGAGTAATAATGCAAACAATTGATAACTTGTAAAGTAACTTGCATAAAATTAATCTAACTGTTGCACCCGCAACGCAACTCTTACTAATCTTTATGTAACTTAATTTAGAACATTCAGATTAAGGAAATTTTTTATTTTAATATTTTAATTAAGTATTAATCTTAGGCTGAATGAAGTCACTTGAATTTGCAACAGCACTTCTTAATGTAGCCTTAAAATCATGCCAGGGGAAAAGCGCTGTACATGTTTCACAAAACAAATTCTAGCATAACTCTTTCTTCTTAACTCCAATTTAGGTCATTCTAAAGTCTATGGTTAGCTAACACATTAGGATACAAATATGTCTTTTGTCACCTCTCTGAAATATATTGGTAAAGTAGTCAAATATTGAATTAAAGTAGCAACTTCTAGTCTGCCCAACTGTTGGTTTCTATCCTGCACAGTTTGTACCATTTTGATCATATCTCTCAATTTATAATGCAAAATTAGGTGATTATAAATTCTATGGTTAGCTAACACATTAGGGTACAAATATGTCTTCTACCACCTCTCTGAAATATGTTGGTAAAATAGTGAAATATTGAATTAAAGTAGCAACTTCCAGTCTGCCCAGCTGTTGGTTTTTAGCCTACACAGTTTTTACCATTTTGGTCATATCTCTCACTTTATAAGGCCAATTTAGGTGATTCTAAATTCTATGATTAGCTAACACATTAGAGTACAAATATGTCTTATATTACATCTTTGAAATATGTTGGTAAAGTAGTCAAATATTAAGCTAAAGTAGCACCTTCCAGTCCGCCCAGATTTTGATTTCCAACCTGCACAGTTTGTACTATTTTGCACAGTTTGTAACTATTTTGGGCATAATCCTTTCAATTTATAAGTCCAATTTAGTTGATTCAAAGCTCATAGACAGTTAAAACGATAGGGAACAAATAACTCTTCTATACACTTCCTATTTCCATTGGTAAAAAAGTTCAAATTCAAGGTTGAGTAGCTGGTCAGTTTCCAAATAAGAACCTGTTTCAGCATTGAAAATCAATATCCAATTCATTATCAATGCATTCCTATGCTTTATCAAAATTCTCAGACCTATTACTCATACATTCAACAACCATATCTTATCACTATCATCACACTACACCATATCTATTGCAGAAATTTGTTAAACTAAAAGAGGATATCAAACCTTCAACCAGAAAGCTTTAACCTTCTTCTTAGCTTCCTTTTCTTCGTCACTTGAGCTCGAACCTCTCCGTATACGATAGATAACATCTTATTAACATTCCAAAATCTCACTAAATTATTGAAATTCAAGAATTCACTTTACTTGGATAGATGTTATTAGGTTGAATTAAGTGCTTGAAAGGTTGAATATTAAGGTAGAAAATGGCAGGAGATTAGGAGAAGATGGAGAAGGTAAAGGTGAATGGAAATTCTCGGGTAACCTCCAAATATATCTTTCTAAGGTATGTTAAAATTTACTAAATATACCTAAATTTTCATTTTTACCATTAATAAAATAAAAAAAAAAAAAAAAAAAAAAAAAAAAAAAAAAAAAAAAAAAAAAAAAAAAAAAAAAAAAAAAAAAAAAAAAAAAAAAAAAAAAAAAAAAAAAAATAAAAAAAAAAAAAAAAAAAAAAAAAAAAAAAAAAATAAAAAAAAAATAAAAAAAAAAAAAAAAAAAAAAAAAAAAAAACCTAAATTTTCAATATTTTACCATTTAATACCTAAACTTTATACTTTATTTCAATTAGGTCCTTATCCTTATACTTTTATTTCAATTGAGTCTACATCTTTATGTTTCATTCAATTAAGTCCAATTCTTTTATTTATTTAATTTGTATGGCTCGAACCGGGTTCTGGTTCATTCCGACTCGACTCGACTCACTAAATGCAATAACTCGATTCAGTAGGATGTCACAGGTTTAATTTTATGCATCAAAGAAATAATGTGTGCAATTGCAAACTAAATTAAATTATATGTTTACAATCTTATATGTAATTAATTGATAAAAATTCAATATCTACTATGATAGAAGTTAATAAATTAATTGATTGCATTCTCTAATTATATGTTGATTTGATCTTTTTGTAGATGGGAAAGTGTGGCTATGTTCTCCGCTTTTTGTGATGGAGAGGAAGCATATATTTCATGGTTTCAGTGATAAATTAGCAATTTAAGATTATGTATAAACTAGAACTATTTAATTTAATTTGATATGTATCATTGTAACATATTATTTGGCATAGATTTATATTTTATTTAAGTTGTAGAATTATTGGATTGTTGAGCATTTGAAAATAGGGACTGAGTGTAGAAATTAACAAGCTCTGAACGAGCTCAAACTCGAGCTTGTACTCGATCTTTTACCAAGCTTGAATTCGAGCTCGAACTCGAGCTAATGTACATCAGCTACTAAATGAGCTGAGCTCATTTGTTACATAAATGAAATTCAAACGAATCGAGCTCAAGCCGAGCTTGATCTATAAATTTTCAAAATGAGCCGAACTCGAGCTTCAATATAAAAGCTCAAATCGAGCTCAAGCCAAACTCGAGCTCACATTAGAATTTCGCAAACCAAATCTGAACGACTCAAAGTTCGGCTTGACTCGATTCCTTTACAGCCCTACACACACACAAACACACACACACACACACACACACACACACACACACACACACACACATATATATATCACACACACACAACACCACACATATATATATCGAGACACACACACACACACACACACACACACACACACACACACACACACATATATATATCGACAAGCTCATTAAAAAAATTGGATTTATTCAATTTAATCCTTAAGATTCTTATAACATTAATTTAGTATTGAACAACCAGATTTTTTAGTCCCATTAATCTACAAGTAAGAATCTAGATGCTAACTAATTAAAATGGTTTGGCTTCCTAATGAACACAAACACACTTAACATAACATTAATATAATATTAGGTGAACTTATTACAAACTAATTAATGTCTTTTGTTGCTAAGCATATCCTTAATTTATTCTTTAATTAATCTCATCCCAAGAAAGAGTGAGATTAACTACAACTTAAGAAACACAAACTCTTGAATAGCAGACACCTCTCCTATTTTATGCAGAGCATCTTTATTAGGTTCTTCATCAACCCCAATTGCCATAATAGCCTCTTTCCTCTTAAAGGTTCTTCCAACACTCATAAAGCTTACATTAACATTATGTCCACCCAAAATGTGTCCAACTTCACCAATCATGCCTGGTTGATCTACTTGTTTGCACAAAATCAGATTCCCTTCAAGACTCACATCCACAGCAAATGAACCCACTCTAGTTAAATGGGGAATCCCATATTTCACTCTTCCTTCAATGCTTATTTGACCACTCTCACAAATTGCACTTGCAAATTTTGAGTCCACATTTGCTATCTGTACTTGAATTGAGTGAATTGGAAACTCAAGAGATGTTTCAACAACTACCCGTTCTTCGCTAATTCGTAGACCTTTCTCCTTCGCAATGAAATCTGCATTGACAAGATTTATATATGCATCTGATATAGGTTCAATTATGCCTTTAGTGATCATTGCTCTAAGAAGTCTCGTGTCCAAGTCATCTGGGTTTCGAGCTGTTTTGTAAGCAACTTTAACTGACTGGATTCCATTGTTGCCTCCACCTACCAATTGTACAGCTAGTCTGCCAAGCTTCTCAGCAAGAAGTACGTAAGGGGATAGTTCTGATAAAACTTCAGAAGGAACCATCGGTGCATTTACAGCAGTAGCAGAAAGTTCACCATTCAAAGCTCCCATAACAGCCTCAGCTATTTCAATTGCTACACCTTCTTGTGCTTCTTTAGTGCTAGCTCCAAGATGAGGTGTGGCAATAACATTCTCATGTTGCACTAATTTGCTATCTTTTGATGGTGGTTCCTCTACGAACACGTCCAAAGCTGCCTGTTAAATGAGTTTAATAAATTAATATATTTAACACAATATGAAATATTTTTAAAAATAATGCTCAAATTAGACTATGAGCTTGATCCTACGGTACAGTTTACAAAAAGCTAAGCTTTTAGATGAAATCTAACAGGTTTTTAATAATCAATTAGGCCCATTAAGCAAGTGTGGTCTGTTTAAGCTTTCGAATGAAACTTAACAGGCGTTGACCAAGTCGCTTAATGAAAATAAATAAGATATTTACATTTATAGATAGTTGAAAAATGTAAAAATTATTATTCTAAAGATTATACTAACCACACAGTAAGTGAATATCTTATATATAAATATCAAAAACAAAAAAAAAAAAATATATTATTGCTTGCTTGGAGAGGGATATAATGTTAGTAAAATCCTTAACTTCAAAAATATAATAGGTCAATCACAAAATTTGGAGTGCCACACAGTTTTTTCTGTAAAGCACATGAGTATATTTATGTATTTGGCCTGCTTTTCCTAGTATCTGTCTCTTATATGCTTTGTTTAGCCAGAAATGAGTCAAATTGATCTTCTAATTGAAATTCAAAAGTTTAGTTTTAAATGAATTATATGTTGCGAACAAATTGGAAGCATTATTTCAATATTTGAAACCTAAGAATAAAGAAAATTAAGTAAAATAAATATATAAATATACCTGAGCAACTTTACCAGAATCAAGGGCTCTAAGCAAAGCATCTTCATCAATAACACCACCTCTAGCAACATTAATGATGCGAACTCCATTCTTCATCTTCTGAAAAGCATCATCACTGAATATATTTTGAGTGGTGGGAGTGAGAGGCATGTGGAGAGAAATGAAATCAGCAGAGGAAATGGCTTCCTCGAAAGAGACTAACTCAACTCCAGTGGCACGAGCTCTATCAGCCGCAGCATATGGGTCATGAGCTATCACATTCATTCCTAATCCTTTTGCACGTCTTGCCACTTCTGTTCCCACTTTCCCAAATCCCATTACTGCTAGTGTCTTTCCAACTAAAGATACACCCACGTACTTGCTTCTCTGCCATTTCCCTGTTCAAATTTAACTTACCCATTCTTAATCCAACATGGATTGATTAATTGGTATTTTGTTCCTTATTTTTAATTTAATTCACAGATTAATTAAAATTTTTTAATATATATATAAATCAACTCAATTAATTCATGGAAGTATGAAGATTAAATAAAAAAAAGAATTTTAATTGTGAACCATTTATACCAAATACATTCAAATTGTAATTTTCCAGGAAATAAACCATTTTGAACCAAATGAGTTGATTTAAAAATTTTACGAATTAAATTAAAAATTACATAAAATATTAATTTCAGATATTCTATTATAAAATATATTAGTGACAGAGACAGAAAGGACCACATGAATCATGTGAAGGATGATTACTCGTCGGTGGAAAAAGGATCCAATCATTCAATTTTTTTTATTGAAACTGAAAAGCAACAAGACAACACAACAAACCTCAAAGTAGGAAGGAAGCGGGAAATCGACTAGATGAGTTCCCCATTTATTATATTATATTTATTATTATGGGACACCCTTCCAACTGCAATGGGTCCCACCATTTCTTAATCAACTTTTATGATTCAGACTTTTTTTTTAAACGAGTTTTAATTATTTGAAAATGACTTAACATAGTTTTAATTATTTAATTATTTTTTCTTTTTCAATACCAAGACGTATTGTGTGTAGTGTAGGGACAACGAAGGTAGAAAAAAAGGATACCCCAGTCCCCAAGTAACTCATCCACACCTAACCATGTCCTTCATGGACCTCCTTCATACTATTCTGAATATGACTTGTCTCTCAGATTTTTACAGGTTATTTTCAGTCTCTACCAAACAAAATAAAACTTATCTCTTTACCAAACCCAACGCTTCAAAGAAAATCTATCACTCTGGATTTTTTTTTTTCTAATATATTTTAACTTTAACGCTCAGATTTTTAAAATGATTTTCTATATATAATTTGATAAAAAAGATTTTTTTTTTTTTTTTTTTTTTCTATCACTCTGGATTTTTTTTTTTCTTATATATTTTTCAAACTTTAACGCTCCAGATTTTTAAAATGAATTTTCTATATATAATTTGATAAAAAGATTTTTTTTTTTTTTTTTTTGGTAGATGCATTATTAAATCTCTCTTCCTTTTTCTTTTTTCTTTTTCCACATTTTTTCTTTTTCTTCTTATTTTTTTTTTTTTTTTTTTTGTAGATGCATTATTAAATCTCTCTCCTTTTCTTTTTCTTTTTCTTTTTCTTTTTCTTTTTCAATTTGACCAAGTTTAATGAGATTCTTTTAAATTGTTGATATGAACTGCTAACTCATCCATGTAAATGGCTTATAAAAAACATGTGGGTTCGAAAAACGTACGTGGACTTCATGTTCTTTTTACTCGAATCATATGAGTGATATAGTTATTTATGTTAGAACTTCCAGTGACTTTTTTGCTCCAGAATCTTAAAAATGATCAGATTGAAGAAGAAAAAAGTTTTGTCTCTCAAACTAATGTTTCAAAGTTTCTTCTTTTAGTTTTAACAATTTATATAAAAAATTTACTAGTTTGACTAATTAGGGTAAAATGCTCTCTTCTAAATATTTAAAGGAATTTTATATCTAGTGTTCGAATTTAAAAACTCTATTTAAGAACTCTTGTCATCTCATCTCTCTTTTTATGAGCAAATGATGTTTCAAATTTTAATAATTGTGCGCCATTCATCTAATAACTTTACCTTTAAATGTTAATAATTGACCCAAAAATTATCATTTTTATTCTTTCAAATGTGTAATATATATGCAATTCTATAATTCCTACCGTGAGTTTTGATAAGAACATGGTTGATCAATCCAAAAACTAAAAGTAATAATAATAATAATAATAAAGATAAAAAGAGTACGTAATTTTCCATACCAGCTTTCATGGAGGCATCTGCCTGTGCAACATTTCGAGCCATGGCAGTAAGCAAGGCGATCCCATGCTCTGCAGCTGCAATAGTATTGGCAGTAGGAGCATTAACCACTAAACAACCTAATTCAGTAGCAGCTCTCAGATCCACATTATCTATCCCAACACCTGCTCTTCCCACCACCTTCAACCTCCCTTTCCCCGCCTCAAACACCTCCTTACTCACCTTCGTCCCGCTCCTCACAATCAAGGCATCACATTCTTTGATCTTCTTGCAAAGATCTTCGCTCGAAAGATCATAGCAACACTCCACATTCCCAATACTACGTAGAAGCTCCAAACCAGCTTCTCCCAGTTTCTCGGAAACTAAGATAGTGGGTTTTTCTTCGCCGAGAACTGTCGTCTGTAGTTTTCTAGATGCTTCAGAAATTGATTCGACTATTGCGTTGTTAGTTAATAAAGAATAGCAGCGCGACTCAGAACGCGATGCTTTAAGGGAGATATTGGGAATGGAAGTGGTGTGATTGTGGAGAAACAATGTTGAAGATGATCGAGAAGAGTTTGAAGAGGAGATGGCAAAAGATGGACTGAAAATTGATTTGGTAGAAGAAGAAGAAGAAGCCATGGCAAATGATTTCTTTTCACTGGTTCCTTTGATCTGTGTGTGTATTTAGAGATCTTAGACACGTATATATAGGAGGTGTTTGAAACCCATTTTGGAAAAATTATTTTCTTGCAATAAAGAAGAGCCTGTAACTAAGAATAGATAATTTAACAGTAAGCAAGTAATTTTACTTGGATGGAATTGAATTCAATGGATGGTCAAAATGAAGAACAATTGTCAAATGGAAGTTTGGTAGAATACTTTTCAACTAGCTTTCTCACTATTTACCTTTGGGGAAATAGTTGGCTATTGTGAATTTAGGTATCTTAGCAAATTTATATTTGTAAGGTCTCCCCAAAATTATGGTTTTAGAAAGCCAAATAGTTTCAAAACCAAAAATGATTTACTATTTAGGTTATGGCCTAATTTAGGGGAATGTGAATTCTTGATTAAAACTTTCGTGATGAAATTATAAATTCTTAATTTATCTAGAAAGCTTACTCGTTTTAACTCGTGAATAAAATTATAAATACGAAAAAAAAAACATTTAAGAAAAGGAAACACAAAAAAAAATAGAAAGAAAAAAAAAGGAAATATTGAAAAAAGGAAACATTGAGAAAAAAAGAAACAATGAAATATTCTATTTTGTAGCACCCTAAAAAAAATAGAAAGGCACAAGAGAGAAACGGCAACGGCGACGGGCAACAACAATGGTAAATACAGTATATACATATATATGGTATATATGAGGTATATACAATATATAAGACATGTACGGTATACATACATGTATATGGTATATACATAATATATATGGTATATATAAAATAATATAAGACATGTACGGTAACATACATGATATGGGATATAACAAATATATATGGTATATATAACAATAGTATTTATATATATATATATATAATAATTAATATATATACACACACACATAGGTAAAAACAATAATACAATATACACACACCCATGTATAGTATTAATTCAATACACACACACATAGGTAAAACCAATTAAATACAATATACACACACACTGTATCAGTATTAATTCAAATAAAATCGAGACTACTACATTGTCTCTTTAAAATATAAACAATATCCATCACAGTAACAGTTTTCTGGTAAGCATTAAGCCATTGATATTTTTATAAAAAAATGAAATCGCAAAATAAAAAATGAAAACAATTATTTACAATAAGAAACGGCATCTAAAAAACATAATCAAAAAATGAAATCAATAAACCTTGTGAATGAAAAAACGCAACCGTGGAAGAGCAGAAAGAATAAGAAAGTATAATGACAGCCGAATAAGTTTCAAAGACTTAAAAAACAATTCTATTAATGAAACACAAAAAGAAAGGAATTGAAGAAAAGGAAACATTGAAAAAAATGAAACACTGAAATATTCTATTTTATAGCGCCTAACAAAAAAAAGGACACAATAGTAAATGCATATTGTAAATAACAATAATTTAAATCTCAAAGTCAATCTGACTTTTTTTTAGAAACTGACATTTCGAACAATATCCCTTATAATACCCTAACTTTCAATTAAGGATAGAATTGTAAATAAAAAAAATATTTTCATTATTTTTCTAAAATTAATATTAAAAATGAAATTCTAAATATCCTTTAAATATTCAATTACATTCACATCTAGTGGGCGACACGTGTATAGATTTTAAAAATATGATATTTGAAACGTGCAATTAAAATAATTAAGAAGTTATTTATTTATTTTTTATTAGATGAATATAATTTGTCTATACTATCATTTAGAACAAGTAGGCATTTTTTTCATCCTAAAAATATAAATAATATATTTTTAGGATGAAAACATACGTAATTTAAAAGCTATATTTCACTAGATTATATAATTTTTATGCCATGTTTCGGGATTTTTTAGTAACATAAATTTATATCATTAAATATTGAATCATTAATTAGCACATTTATTTCAAGAATTAAAATTTAATCTATGCAACATCAATTGAATAGATTAATCAAAATTTTTAAAATTTTTATTTTGAAAATTTTTATAATTGTCATATGGTGATTTAAGAAATGATGAAAATATATATTTTTTATTTATGACTCCATCCTTAATTGAACTTGATGGTACTATTACTACAAAAGGTTGAAATTAGAGTAAAATTGGCAAAAAAATTAAAATAAGTTGAAATTACAAAAACCTACAAAAGGAATGGCAACGACAACAACAGCAACGATAAATACAGTCTATACATATATATGGTATATTCAAGGTATATATAGTATATAAGATGTATACGGTATACATACATATATACGATATATACATAGTATATATGGTCTATATAAGATATATACAGTATATATATACATATGTAAAACCAATTAAATATAGAATATAAAAACATCATTAAGGACTTCAATTTGATTGGTTAAAAAATAAATGTAATTTAGTATATATTATCATATATATTATATATAATATATTATATATATATATAATATATAAATATATATATAAATCACTATAATTTGAATCGAGAGTACTTACCTTGTCTCGCTAAAACCATAAACAACATACCATGGCGTGACAAGTTTTTCGCGGCTAGCATTAAGGCCGCTGATACATTAACAAAAATGAAGTCGCAGAACAAAAAATGAACAAAATGAAAAGAATGAAAATAATTATTTTACAATAAGAAACGGCAAACCTGATAAGACATAATCAAAAAAATGAAATCAATAAATCCTTGTGATAAAAAAAATGCAACCCGTGGAAGAGCATAAAAATAAGAAAATTATAATTGTTCACGCCCGACCTATATATAACACTAAATAGAATCGAGAGTACTACCTTGTCTCCTTAAAACATAAACAACATCCATGGCGGTGACAGTTTTCCGGCTAGCATTAAGCCGCTGATACATTTATACAAAAATGAAATCGCAGAACAAAAATGACAAAATGAAAAATGAAAATAATTATTTACAATAAGAAACGGCAACTGAAAAACATAATCAAAAAATGAAATCAATAAACCTTGTGAATAAAAAAAATGCAACCGTGGAAGAGCATAAAGAATAAGAAAATATAATTGTCACGCCCGACTCTAATCACCAGAGGAATTGTCTGCTTTGGATCAAAGCCAAATCCTCCATACAGGACTGACAAGACTCGCACGATTTTATCCCACAGGTAAAATAGGAAACTTCCTAGGAGATCACCCATCTTAGGATTTCTGTTAAGCAAGCACGCTTAACCTTGGAGTTCTTCCAACTCTCCAGCCATGCCACCAAAAGGCGCCTCTAATGATTAGCTCCTCTCTTTTCGATATATGATTTGATTCATTCCTATGTCCTGCATTGCACTACCGTAGCTAGCCTGCTATCCTAGTAGCTAGCCTGCTATCCTAGAAGCTAGCCAGGAGCTTTGCTCTACCCGCCTTCTTAAGATCGTTTTGCCGGGTTGGAATGTCACACTTTTATCATTTCTTTGGGTGGTGGAGACAACTTTCTAAATGCAATCTTTGCAAGTAGTGTGTGTGATGTGGACCAATGGAAGCTGAGCAAAGAACCTATATAAGGAGCAAAGAAAGGAGTTGTAAAGGTGACTCTCTTAGGGCACTTGTTACCATGTATGAGAACAAGGAGCAGCCAGTCAAAAGAATTCAGCAAAAAAAAAAATATAGGAGAGAGAGTCAGTAGCTTTTAGCACTAATGTTACTACATCACAAAAGGAGAGAAGGATTTTTTGAAGAGCTCGGGACGTGGGCACCGCGGTCAACCAACGACATAAACCTAAAGTTTGTTATTTATGCCTTTTATCCCTTTTGGGTATTTTATTTTGATTAATATATTTGTAATAATGCTAGGCTAAATATTCAAATCTAGTTATGTGATTTATCTATTAATTTAAAATGCAACTTTGAATAGTTTGATTTGTGTTTAAATGCTTAAATTCCTGATTAATATGTTTAAACTTAATGCTTGTGAATATGTGGGTACCTATATTTGCATGATTTTAGATCTGTTTGAATAGATTGAGAGATTGATAAATTAGATTGGATCCCACATATTAAACCTAGAATTTTAAACCTAGAGATATGCTAAGTTCTCTGAGGGTAAAAAGAATTTAACACCGGCTTAATGAGTTTTAATTGTGTTAAGCTATGAGAGTAGATGTCGCATGACTTTAACATCCCACTTAAACTCGAGTGAGGAATATGGATACCCTAGGGTAGTTCTCCTTCAGGCTACAAGAGTAGATGTCGTGTGGTTTTAACAGTCCATTTAAACTCGAGAGAGAAATTTGGACTCTATAAATCAACTATTCATGGTTTGCACTGAGAATTAATAAAGATCCCATAGCTAGACTATCTCAACAATTATTTGCTTGAATTTACTTTTGATTGTCTCCATTTGCTAATTTTAATTTGAATTTGTTTAATTTAACTGCAACTTAGTGTAAATCAATTACACTTTTTTCGGTCTTCCTAATAATTATCAAGCATAGAAAATTAATAGCATATTCCCCAATCTCTGTGGAATGATAATCTTTTTACTACTTGTATGATTCGTATACTTGCGGAGCGAATATTAATTTCTCAAATTACTCGAACAGCGGCTGAATAAGTTTCAAAGACTTAAAAAAAAAAAAAATGATTCTATTAAGGGCATCACAAAAAGAGAGGAAAAGAAGAAAAGAAAACATTGAAAAAAAATAAACACTGAACTATTCTATTTTGTAGCGCCCTAAAAAAAAGACATATACCATAAATAACAATAATTTAAATCTCAAAATCAAACTGACATTTTTTTTTTTTTAAAACTGACATTTAGTACAATATCCCTTATAATAACCTAACTTTCAATTAAGGATAGAATTACAAATAAAAAAATATTTTCATTATTTTTTAAATTAATATTAAAAATGAAATTCTAAATGCCTTTTAAGTATTAAATTACATTCATATCTAGTGGGCGATACATTCATAGATTTTAAAAATATGATATTTGAAACGTGCAATTAAAACAATCAAGAGGTTATTTATTTGTTTTTTATTAGATGAATATAATTTTTCTATATTATCATTTAGAACAATTAGGCATTTGTTCATCCAAAAAATATAAATAATATGAAAAAATACGTAATTTAAAAGCTATATTTCATTAGATTATATAATTTTTATGCCATTTTTCGGGAATTTTTAGTAACAAAAATTTATATCATTAAATATTAATTATTAATTAGCACATATATTTCAAAAATTAAAATTTAATCTATGCAACATCAATTGAATATTTTTAAAATTTTTATAAATGTCACATGATGATTTAAGAAATGACGAAAATATGTTTTTTTTTTAATTTACAATTCTATCCTTAATTGAACTTGATGGTATTATTACTATAAAAGGTTGAAAAAATTTGCAAAAAGATCAAAATAAGTTAAAATTATAGAAACCTACAAAATTTAGAGTATTCTAATATATTAATCCTACTTTTTCCATACCCTTAAATGAATAACTAGTTTGTTATGTAATTTATTACCGTAATTTATTGCCATGGATTAGAGCATATTGGTAACACCACCCTAAAAGTAAGCTGTATTTTTTTGCCGTGGATGCTGTTAGGAGCTGTATTAGGCTCCGTTTGCTATAAATTAATTCAGAAATAAATTTTATATAAAAACCATTTGTAATGAATTTTCTATTTTTGAAATAAATTTAAAATTTAAAATTTATTAATTTTAGAAGAATATAAAGGTGAATAGTGTTGTTGTAAAGTTTTAAAAAAATATTAAACTTAAGAATATTACCAAAAAAAAAAATAGAATATTCATTAACAAAATATTTTTTAGTGCAAAGTTAATTAGAATATTATTAAATTTATTTTTTTTCTTTCTCATCCTATTTTCTTTCTTCAAATTCATGCTGGATTTGAGTTATTCCCAAACTAAATCAATCTAATCTCTCTATTGTGGTGGCTGGAGTTGATGAGAGCGGTGGCGGTTGAAGTTATTAGGGACGCCGGGAGGGTGTAATCGGCCGACCCTTGACTAGTCCCGCCAGCTTGTGGCCGATCTTGCTAGAGAAGCAGAGAGTAATGTTGAAGGGGAAAAGCAAGACTTTGACTCGCTTCTTTCTACACTCGCTGGAAGAGAAAGAGAGAGACTGGAGATGGAGTGAGCGGCGGAGGAATTACGATAAGAAGCTCTGGTAGGCCGATTACTGATTAGGTCACCGGAAACGCCAAAAGAAAGGAGAAAGGGGGTTATCTCAATCGACAAGCCCCTCTGTCTCTCTCGTTAGGCTGCTCTGAACAAGAACGAAGGCAGAAAGCGGTGGCCAGAGGTGTTGCTGGTGTTTTGAGGTGGTCAGATTAGCAAAGCTGTGAGCTTCGGTGAACGAAAAACGAACGGGATAGAAGAGGGGGCTGTGGTGCAATCAGGAAGGGGGAGAAGGGATTTTGGGTTAGTTGTTGATTTGGTTCAATTTAGATTTGATTTGCTCAATTTAGATTTGATTTGGCTCAATTCGTGAATTTTTTTATTGCATATTCAACGTGGCAAAATTGATTGTAACTTGGAATTGTAATTTTTCACATCATCTGGCGTGTTGTGCACAACAGTTTACTACTCTTGACTAGGTGTGCAATTGTTATATAAAGTAAAATAGAGTGCCATAAGGTTACTTTGAAAGCACGGAAGGCAAAAGACTTTTTCGTGCAAGTTCACGGGGCAAATAACTCATTGGGCTCAAAACTTTAGTAGGAGAATTCCCATATGATAATCCTATGTGGGCAAAATTGATTGTAACTTGGAATTGTAATTTTTCACATCATCTGGCGTGTTGTGCACAACAGTTTACTACTCTTGACTAGGTGTGCAATTGTTATAAAAAGTAAAATAGAGTGCCATAAGTAATCTCTAGTGTGGGCAAGAACTTGAGTTGTAAACTTGGAATTGTAATTTTTCCCCATCATTCTGCGTGTTGTGCACAACAGTTTAACTACCTTGACGTTAGTGGTGCAATTGTTATAAAAGTAAAACCTAGAGTGCCATAAAAATTGATTGTAACTTGGAATTGTAATTTTTCACATCATCTGGCGTGTTGTGCACAACAGTTTACTACTCTTGACTAGGTGTGCAATTGTTATAAAAAGTAAAATAGAGTGCCATAAGATTACTTTGAATGCACGGAAGGCAAAAGACTTTTTTGTGTAAGTTCACGGGGCAAATAACGCATTGGGCTCAAAACTTTAGTAGGAGAATTCCCATATGATAATCCTATGTGGGAAAAATTGATTGTAACTTGGAATTGTAATTTTTCACATCATCTGGCGTGTTGTGCACAACAGTTTACTACTCTTGACTAGGTGTGCAATTGTTATAAAAAGTAAAATAGAGTGCCATAAGGTTACTTTGAAAGCATGGAAGGCAAAAGACTTTTTCGTGCAAGTTCACGGGGCAAATAACGCATTGGGCTCAAAACTTTAGTAGGAGAATTCCCATATGATAATTCTATGTGGTCAAAATACATGTCATCAAATAGCATCAGAAAGTTGCAGCAGAGAAAATAAAATACAGCGGTAATTCTCTGGATTTTCAAGCAATTCGTTAGTTTCCAAGCATAGAATTCATTTGCAACCAGATTATTCAGCCACCTCAATCTGATTTATGGTAATTCTCTGCGTCCCGCCAATCTGACATCCATCTTTCATTAATCCAACAAACAAGTCCCCATTAAAACTAGAATTATGAGACTGCAATTTATCGGAAACCTACCAGTTCACAAAGCAATTAGGTTGGATCTATGCATGTAAGGGTTAAATTGCATGATAACCCATATAGAACTAAGTCTTATTCTGTTGATTAAATGATATAGGTAAAGCTAAGCCTAAAAAATGTGGAACAAAGTGAGACTAATCATCAAAGAACTTTAAAAAGATTTGGAAACAAATAGCCAAAGAGAAAAGCAGAAGCCCAATCTTTGATTGATCTCTTTAGTCAAATTCTCCACCCCAACAAACAGAAATATCCATGTCTAGCATGTATTCTACTTCAAACATAAAGTTACCATCTATATCACAACATCGAAGTATACTTTTCTATGACAAGAAATGCAATGGCATCAAATTACCTTCTTCGATTTACTCCAGTCAGAGTCTATTCTCTTTTTAATCCAATATTAATAGGAAGAATGTAGCGGAAATAGTGTTTTTTTGGGAAATTTTGCATTACATGGTATCAGAGTTCCCTCCTCATCATCATCTTTTTTTTGCTAAATGTTACTCAATATCTCTCTGTCAAACTCACTTCTTCGAATTATCTCTTATGGAAAGCTCAAACCTTACCATATTGCTTAATGGCTACAATCTTACTCATCCTATCTCTTCTACAGCTCAGTCGTCTTCCTAAATCTTGGGTGAGTGTAACAGGAATCTTGATTATTTGTTGTGATTTCAATAGGATTAACTTGTTTTCAGTTGGTTATTTTGTTCCATCTTGGAGTCTTTTCTAAATTCATCAAATCATTGGCTCCACCATAGCCAAAGAGGCTTGGACCAAACTGAAGACAATTTTCTTATCCAGCCCTCTTATTTTATCAAGTATTATAAAGTTGGATATATTTTTCTTAAGTCTCTTCATTTGGTGGAGCATTAACATTTCTCTGCCACTTAAAAGTTTCCAAGCATATTAGGATTTGGAATTTCAGGCCTTAACAAAACACCTTCAAGAAAAAAGGAACTACGCAACAAATTTCTTAACCTACACTCTTGATATGTAACTCTTAACTAATAAAATATCTATGATGAACTTGAAAGCCAAAATCCAGCAACTATAAAGGAATTCACTCCATTCCTTTATAACAATGCCAATGCAAAGGTAAACAAAAATTTGAGTTTTTACTTTCCCTTGGTAACAAATAGTAAAGCCTTATATCCACAAATAACATGCAACCCGCCCAAAAAGCGTTCAAGCCCAAACCCGACGCGGAAACATTTCCTCCCTCCTATATAGACATATAATAAACCTTTTCATAGTGAACTTCGGTGCCTAAACAAATCCCATATCTCAAAAGCAAGAAATAACAAGTCAACAAACGATATGTAAAAACTCAAGTTAATGGCACCATCAAATCACGCAGTCGCGCTGTGAGCACATAGCGAACTATTCTTTCGCCTTTTACTAAAGAATACCGTGTGCTTGCTGCAAATAGCGGCATACGCAAATTTTTGAACGGTTCCTTCTTTTTAGGGTGGCCCAACACTAATTTAGTTTAAGTCTCTAATTTTGGAGGGCACAAACCTGTCATTTTGTTAATCTAAGCGGGATGCCAAAGTCCCTAGATTATTTATCTATCTTGACATCTCATTATCAAAATTGGGAGGTCTGATAATGTATCAGGCCTGCGACTCTCCATCTCTTGATTGTCACTTTCTTTAAGAGTTTGCAGGCAAAGGAGTTAATTGTTAGTCATGTTTCAAGTAAACACCAGCTACTTAATTTATGTCTATACAAGCCTCCGGCAAAAATTGGTCTACAAGCTATATGATCCAAAATCAGTGTCTCCAATGGAAGAACTATATTACAGAGGCATATATTGTAAATTATGTGTATATATTGTACATCAAACTTATTTTAATCTTAGTTAACCTTGTTGTTACTATAAAGTTATCCTGTTGAGAGAGGCCGAACACATCCACTCTCCGAAATTTGAAAAAAAGAAAAAAATCTTATGGCGTAAATTTTAAAATCAATTGTATGACTCTTGAAAATTGAAAATCCACCTCATGGAACCTTAAACTTCACTTTTTACAATAATCTCACACATTGTCATGCTAGCAACAATGATTTTAAGATTTTTAAATTTTATTAGTAAAATAGTGATTTTATATATGACTAGTATAACTATTGATAAAATAATAGAGAAATAAATAATTCTCTATCAATAGAGAACTCCTAATTTTCCTCAAATAGACTATTGATAAAATAATCAGAGAATAATAGAATTAATTCTTTATCACTTTAAAAATTGAAGGATAAAAAAAAAAAAAAAAAAAAAAAAAAAAAAAGGAGAACTCCTAATTGACTTTGACATAGTAAACTTTTTACAACAGTTTTGCTAAATTAAATAATTTATGAATAAATCTTACATAAATAAAATTATAAAATATTTATAAGACATATTTATTTGCATAAAAATTTATTTTTTATATTAATATTGAAATATTTAAGCTAATTTGTATATTCAAGCAATCACCTTCTTAAACTCAATTCAAGAACACATAGTAACTCGGAATTTGATTGTGTTTGTTAAAGTCATTTTTGAACTTTCTATTTGATTTCCAGTTTTGGAATTTAGAATTTTTGCCTATTCTAACAACTCCTTGGTCGTTATTCGCTACAAGACAAAGGTCAGACTTGTTTGAAGTCAATTCAAACATGTTTCTTCTCTAAGCATCCATTATGGGAAAAAGAATAGATAAGCTCCACTATGACACAAACTAAAAATAAAAAGGAAAAATTATGCATAATATCACAAACTTAAAATAAAAAGGAAAAATTATGCATAATATAGAAATGCTGCCATACCATTTTAGTTCAAGACTCAGTAAAGAATTTGGATTGGGATAGAACAGAAGGATGCAAGGGAACTCATGCAACATGACCCACTTATATTCTGAAAAGGTTTTGATTGAAAGTTAGAATTTTTGGAAATAGATCAAATGCTCTTTGCTTACCCAGAACAAACTCGAGATTTTTTTTTTCTTTTGGCCCATAAACTAATATCCTTCTGTCTATGAGACGGAAAATCTTTCCAAATTATCTTTATAAGAGGCTAAAAATTTTAAAAAAGAAAAAAAAACTACAGTGCAGGCAAAGATTTTCTTAAAGGTCAATTATTTTTTATTAATACAAGCTAAAAGAGTAAACAGCTTTGAAAATGACCAAAAAATAAATAAATAAAAAATAAAAAACCCATGAACCTCGTGATAAGTGAGGAATCTTAACTTGTTTTCTTTAGCTTGACATGAAGAATTCCAATACTATACAAACTGACATTTAGTCAGATCAAATACCAGTTTCAGCTAACACAAAAAAGATACAAATACATAGCAAAATTAGAAAAATCTTAAATCCCAAAAAGAAAAAATGTAGAGAAAAGATACAGAAAGTACCAAGAGACAAGAAAGCCTAGAAACATATACAATCTGTTGCTTTTTCTTTACAACCCCAAAAGAAAGAGGAAAAGGAAATTAAATCATAGGCAGAGGAAAAGGAAATTAAAGCATAGGCAAGCTGAACTAGAATCGAACCATACTGTAGATGAACCAGAATCGATGGTCCAAAATTTTGAATTGGAATCGGTAGTTCAAGGGGCCGATTAAGGTTCATGTGCATGTTAAAAAATGAATTTGAATCGACGGTTCCAGTCTAGTTCGAACCGGATGCCCATACAAAATTATTTGCAGCTTAAAATTTTTTATAAAAAAATTTATATCACTTGATTTGAGATTGTAGTGTAGAACAATCTTTAATATAGTCTAGATCTATTGTTCATAGAATTTGTTTGACAGGAATATACAATAATCGGAAGCGTACCTTGATCCATAACAGTAGATCTATTTTGACTTAATTTTTACAAATTGACTTAATTTGAATTAATTGGATACCCAAGTAACTCATCCACCTAACCATGTCCTTCATGGACCTCCTTCATACAATTCTGAATATGACTTGTCCCTCAGATTTTTACAGGTTATTTTCAGTCTCTACCAAAACAAAATAAAACTTATCTCTTTACCAAACCCATCACTTCAAAGAAAATCTATCACTCTGGATTTTTTTTTTTTCTAATATATTTTAACTTTAACGCTCAGATTTTTAAAATGATTTTCTATATATAATTTGATAAATTTTTTTTTTTTTTTTTTTTTTTTTAATATGATGAGTTGATGATTTTTTTTCCACAACCAATTATATCCTAACTCTCCTCTTATTCTCAATCAAAATTCTCTCAAATTTCCATAGTTCATTATTTTTTCTATTGCTTTATTTTTCTTAATGGAATTAATCTATGTTTATTTTTTTATTGTTTCATACATCCATTCTAAATCCTTCTAACTGCAATTTTTCTCATTTCATATAATTTACGTTCATTGATTTTTTTATAATATACTTTCTTAGTATTTGGAAAAAATAATAATTTCCAACTCATTCCATTAATTTCATATTCCATTTATTCATTTTTTTTCCATAATTCCATTTAAAAACATGGCACATAATTCACAAAGCTGCAAGGGAAAACGAGTTGCTCAAAGCGTGGAAGAAATTGATTCAATCGATCCATTGATTGATTTTTCACCACAATTTAATGATGAAGTTTAATATCAAACTCTAATTGAGGAACGTTATATTCGTCGTCATCCACCACAAGAAGCAATATCTCCTAATATTTCAATAGGTAAACCACCAAAATTAGATATTTTCAAGAAGCACTATGCAAAAATTGTTCAAGATAACGGAGAAATCAATGTGGTTCGATGTAATTATTGCAAAAAAGAATATGCATTCAAGCTTGGAGGAGGCTATGACACTCTTTAGCAATTTAAAAATCACATCATCCAAGTGAGGTAGAATATGGATGTAAACTCAAACTCAATTATCGTCGTCAAAGTATAGTGATCCTAACCACGCCTCTATTTAAAATTATGATGAAACTAATAAAATTGAAATGGTTCAAATAGTTTGCATGGAATATTATCTTTTCCATTTGGGAAAAAATTGAGTTTAATAACTGTGACATCCTAACCGAGTCGAGTCTTTGCAAGGTCGAGTAGTCGACGTGAGTCGAGTTGAACCAAACCTTGATTGGTAGAATGGGTTATTAGTGGACTTACTTGAGTGAGAGAAAAAAGATCAAAGCATATGGGTGAGGATTTAGTTTGCATTAAAAGATCAAGCTTGGTATTAAGTTATAGGCCTTTTGGCCACTTGAGTTACCATTAGTAAGTTTTCACATAACTCTTGACTTTGATGGGCTTACCCGGATAATCATTTTCACTTTCCCATTCATTCTTTATTCTTCATCTTCTTCATCTCCTTCCTATCTCCATTCCATTTTCATGGTATGTTAAGCCTTAACTTTCACCTTCTTTTATCCAAGTAAGTAAAAACCTTCTTGAAGTTCATAATTGAATTCATTGGTTTTATTTTTAGATATCATAAGAATTTCTTATTATAGGTGGAAGTAGTTCAAAGGTAGTAGAAAAGAAGCTAACAGAAAAACTCTAAGCTCTTTGGAGTGAAGGTTTGATATCTCCTTTCATTTACCATTTTCTTTCTTGCGAAATTGTGTGGTGTGTGCAATTGAGACAATATATGTGCTGCATGTTGAGTGGAGGACTTGTAATGGTGAGAAAACAGGGGAGAATTGAATAATGAAGTAAATAGGAGTTTATGCTGAACGTTTTGCTGGAAATTTTACCAGTGACTGTCATCTTGATTTTAACCCCATTTAATGATGGAATTAGGAAGTTTCATAGAAAAGTTATTTGTTCCTCATGTGTTAGCTTTCATGGTTTTTGGGAAATCATCCAAATTCGGAAGGTTGTATATTGAGAGATATGACCAAAAAAGAGTACAGGACTGTCAGGCTGGAAAACCGACGGCGCCGCGCGCAAATTGCATGACACGCTCGCGAATTTCACCGGGAAAACTCTCTTGACTCTTCATTTTGCAATCTCGCGCCTCGCGACTTTGCAACTTGCAGTGCGCGCACTTTGCTCGATAACTTCTCTGACTCTCATGTTGCACATCTCGCACTCGCACTTTGCACTGCGCCGCTCGCGACTTTGTGCTCGATAAAAACTAACACTGGACTCTTCATTTTTGCACTGTACGCGCTCGCACTTGCAACATCTCCGCTCGCGACTTGTATTTTTCATGCACTTTTGGGACTCTTTTCAATGCAATTGTATTCCTTTGCTTTAACTTATATGCTCCAATCATTTTAACACCAAAATACAAACATTGAGAACTTATTTAAAACAACATGCAAGCATGCAAATATGGTGAATCAAAATAAACATTATCATTTATGAAGTTTATGAACTTATCTATGCTTGGCTGCTATGGCCCATATATAATCATATCCACTTCAACGGCCTGTAGCCGGAGTATCAAACTGTATGGGTGCCAGATCTGCTATCACTATGTCGCCGACATAGCCTTATCTACATGGTTCTTACCATAACCT